AAAAAAAAAAAAAAAAAAAAAAAGTACCCTAAAACCTTTCTGTAATTCAGACTCCTGAGTCAGCAAAGGTAACCCTAGATGGGAGTCAAGACAGTGAGTCAGAGCTGCCTATATCTGCTCAAGTCTGAGACCCAAAATTGTTCTTGAGCATTCTAGGAGTGTAATTCTCCTTCTTATAAGGGAGTTAATGATGCCAGATCCTGATTCACTGGCAGACGTGGGGATAGTTTGTTTTATTTCTTTACTGTTTGCAATATGAAAAGATACAAAAATGTACAGATGAGCATGAGACTGGTCCAACACTCCATACTTAAGATATAGGGTGACCATATGTCCCGATTTTATAGGGACAGTCCTGATTTTTGAGTCTTTTTCTTATATAGGCTCCTATTACCCACCACCCCCGTCCTGATTTTTCACACTTGCTATCTGGTCACCCTATTAAGATATGAACTTCTGGGTGGGTTTTGTCATGAGAAAGTTGTAGAATTAAACCTTAATTTTTTTTTAAGTATCAAAAGAGATCCCCATTCTTGGGGCCAAATTCTCAGCTGGTGTAAACTGATGCAGCGTGAGAACTTGGCCTTTGGACACTGAAATGTTCCAGAGATGTCTCCAAAAACTCAGTAAACAAGAGACAAGCATGTAACAATTAGGAAAAATGGGGAAGCACAATGGTAGCACAGATATATATAATGCAACAGGCAAGGAATTTGTAAGTTACAAAACAGAGGAAAAGGGAGGCAGAAATACCATATAAAACAAATGTGTAACAGTTGTACTAATTTAAACATAGAGACAGACTGAGGAGGAGGAGGGTGAGAAATCAGGGAAAGAAAGAGTCATATCCCAGGTCACAACCATCAATCGGCCAATCTGGATTAATTCTGCTATGCTGAGTCCAGCCAAGCAATATGTATTATTCTATAAGCGACATTACACACTAAGCTGCTGTTTTCTGTCTGTAGGCTGAGAGCAACAGGAGGAAGGTTGCGACTCCCCTGTAACAATTCCCATTATTTACAGTTGTTAGAGTTACTGTGTCCAGTGGACTAGTTAAAAGCTGCCTAGGTATTACTCTGGCTCCCCCTCCTTACCACCCTGCCCAATCATAGGGTACGTCTTCACTACCCGCCGTATCGGCGGGTAGCAATCAATTTATCTGGGATCGATATTTCGCGTCTCGTTAAGACGCGATATATCGATCCCCGAACGCGCTCACCGTCGACTCCGGAACTCCACCAGAGCGAGCGGCGGTATCGCAGTCGAAGGGGGAGCCGCGGCCATCGATCCCGCGCTGTCTGGACCCCAGGTAATTCGATCCAAGATACTTCGACTTCAGCTACGCTATTCGCGTAGCTGAAGTTGCGTATCTTGGATCGATCCCCCGCCCCCAGTGTAGACCAGCCCATATTCAATTTGTCATCCTGTCTGCTTTTTATTTATTGGCTGAATTGTCAGTCCTCTGTAGCAGATAGGAAGGTATGGGGGAAGGTTTCTATTTTTATTTTTTGCACCAAGGTTTTGTGAATGCAATGAAATTAATTGAAACAAAAGAGCCATTTGTTTGCTTTTCCCATTAGGAGATCATCCTAGCACAAGGTATCTTTCAAGAGCAAAACCTCCTAGTCAGAACACATACAGAGCAGACAAAACAAACCGCTCTATCAATTAGCAAATATCAGTGAAACTGTTTCCTTAATTAGCAAGTTCACATAAATTGCCTTTGAGCTTGACGGATAGCGAAGAAAAATGCTTTAAGGTAGGGTTTTCCTTTTCATGTGACTGAGCCTTCGCCACCAGGAATATTTGATAAATCACAAACTCCCTTCCCATTTTTTAATTTGTCTCCTGGATCTTGGGAAAATAAATGAATTCAGCTTGGTAAAAACACACATTTATGTGTCTGGCTTCAGTGCTGAAAATGCATGCTGGGGATTGGAGGCATGATACCACTGCTGCATTCACAGGTTCTTTTGATAGACAGCTTGTTGTGACTAGGTATACAGCTGCTCTCCTACTCCTGGCAACCTTTCAGAGGGGATTCACAGATCAAATCCTAGGTTTCTGAAGTAGAAAAACCATGTCCACTCTGATATCATTCTCTTCCTCTCTCATTCATTTGCAATATACTTTTCTATCTACCACTCTTCCATGTGCCTTCCCTCCCTCATTAAATCTGTTCTAATTAAATCTCTCTTTGGCTCATTGCTCAACGTGATCACCAAGTTGCTGGAATTTGTATTTTTATGGAGTTCCAAAAGACTAGTGTCCATTAGTATCTAGAGGATTTAGGTTCTCATGCTTAAAAGAGGAGTTCCAAAGACTCCTATTAAAAGTACTGCAGTAGGATATTTTTCACAGAGCTCATTACACCTGGGAACTCAAGTGAATGCCGTGGTCAAAGAAGTGGGATCGAAATCAAACAGAAACACATCATAAGTTCTTCAAGGGCAAATTATGTCAAATAGTCAGCAATATTTTAATGGTGACATGTAAACGGCTTTCAGTTCCAAGTGCCAAGGAAATTTGCTGTACTAAATATTTCAGAGATTGATTTCACTGATATAGCATGAGGAATTGAATTCCTCAGTTTAGAAACTGTTGTGCTGACATCTGTCATGAATAATAACATCGTTGATCCGTTGTTTAGGAGGTGGGGGAGGAAACCTTATAACCCTGGTAACTCTATTTGATGATGAGAATGCTGACAAATGTATTAAACTGCCTCCTAACGACAGAGTTTTGTTAATCAGCCTGAGAATGTTGGATTTCCTTAAAGGCAATTCTGTTACAAAATGTAAAAGCTACAGCCTATCTAACCTCATTCATTTTCAGATGACTGGAGTTAAGTCATTACATTTGATGGTCTGGGAATTGTTATCTGATAGTATTGAAGAAATTGGGAAATTATGAACTAATTTTGGGCTGTATCAAATAATGAGACTCTAGAGAGTGGAGTATTACAGTAAGCCTTAAAAATGACAAAGAGAAGATATTTAAACCCTTTTTCTTTATGGTGCAGTAAGAACATTCTGTCAGTGAACACTGTTCCCATTATCTGACCAATTGCCTTGCTGTGCCTTTTTCTTTACAGTAGGCTTATATTAATTAAATTTAAGAAGTAGGCACCGCCACTTGCTTCTTCCCTCAAAGAATAATTTAAGTTATCTCCAGATGTCAGTCTTTTTTTCATAGACTTTGCTTTAGAAATACTTATTCACGCCATTAACTCCCGGTGATACCCTGCGGAATCTAGAAAAATGCTTACAGTATACAGCAACTGGTGTATAAGTACAGTTATCCAATTTCATTACAAGTAGTATGTAACTTCTGGCTTGTTTCACTGGTTTGTAACGGCCTGATTGCAATTTAAGTTATAGTGAAAGGACCAAACTCTCTGCATCGCTCCATTGAAGTCAGTGGAGTTATGCCAGCAGAATTTAACCCAGTGTTGCCATCACAGTGGGTTCAGTCCTGCTCCCCCTGAAGTCCGTGGCAAAATTTCTATTGGCTTCAAGAGGAGTAGGAAGGATCAGACTCCAATGCTGTTCTTCGGTATGGAGCTCTTTCAGACCCCTCCCCTGCAGAGGGCTGTCAGGCAAAGGAAGCAGAGCTGGGTATGGGGAGGCGGTGCAAAGGGCACGCACCTCCTGTGTGGAGTCTCACTGTGAATGAGCTCCCCCTGCAGAACCTGGGGCACTGATGGGTTTGTGGAAGGGCAGAGATTCAGGACCCATAGCTATGCAGTTGCGTGTTTTTCCCCCTTGGCCCAGGGATCTTCTTACGTAGAGGGCATAGTCCTGCGTCTTGAGTATTGTTTTACTGACCGGGGCAGCATTTTTCCATCTGAATCTAACCCCAAAGTCTGTTTCGAGATCATAACGCTAGGGAAGGAGAGGACCTGCAAGGCCTTAGAGCCCATCCTACAATGAATATTAGAATGAAGATTATAATAATCCCTTCCAAATTCCATTCACAAATATATATTTTATCATAATTCTTCAGTAGCTGATAGCGGAGCAGTCTTCTTCACAATGAAGTTGTGTAGCCTTATTATTTAATACTTTTGTGCCCCAAGTGATTGTTAGCCTTCCTATCTCCGATGGGGATATAATAGCACTATACGAAGTGTTACAAGCTGTACTGGTATTGAACATCTGAGTAGTGCCTAATGCGTGAATCCTTTCCAGTCCCTTAAATTCTGGTATGCGGAGATGCACGTCTTGTGGACTAACATACTTGTGGAGTTGGGAAAGAGGGAATCTGGGGACGCTGATGGGTAACTGATGTTCTCTAGCGTAGCATGTGGATGATAACATCATTACAGAGTTAAGTAGATTTCAGAGGAAGCAACACTTACGCTGATTTATTCATTGCTCTGCAGGTTTGAAACTTTTGAAGTGAATAGCTTTGAACAGTTTTGTATCAACTATGCCAACGAAAAACTCCAACAGCAGTTCAACTCGGTAAGGTCAGCTTGAAAGTGTTTCATAAGATTAATAGAAAACTTTGGATAAAAGCCTGGCCACATTTCCCTGTGCCAGGCTTCCACTTAGACAAACTTGTCTCCACTCTGGCCAACTCTCACTATTAACATGAATTCGGCAGTTATAGCATAATCCACACTGGGCAGCAATCTTGCAGTAGAACTGTACTATGTATTCATTGCTAGAGGTGAGTTTTGCTTGGTTTTGGTTTTGTTATAAATCTCTTAGCAGGTTTGTAAACAATTTATTCCAACCTGGATCCACTGATGTTTCTGAATGGTTTGTATGTGAAACCATTGAGAAAACTGGTTTTTGCATAATTTCAACCCCAAGCCAAGCTAAACCTGGCTGTTCTGAATCTGTTTCAGGATTTAAAGAGAACTCAGGAGTGGAAACCTCTAGGAGGCTGACCTAACCTGCTGCGAACTGAAACTACTTCATGTTGTATGCTTGTATTATACACATTCTAACACAATTTGTAGTGTTTGTCTTGGGATGTGAATAGATAGATGGAATTCAATATCTACATTGCGTAGACATAAAAATGTCAAACTTTACACAATTAAGGGTCTGATTCCAATTTCATTGAAGTCCATGGGAAATTTGCCATTGACTTCAGTAGGAGCAAGATTTGATCCTAATTTTGGATAAAGTGGGTCTACAAGAGAATTTGTTAAATTTGAGGAACTAAATTCTGTGGGGCAGTCGAGGTACTTTAAAACTGTTCTGTACATATAGTGATGCACAGTTGCAATATATGTAAAGCATCATATTATATATCAATGCTTTAAGAAATGAAGAGGAAAGTGATGGGTTTAATTTGCACAGTACACAACTGTTTTAATATGTATAACTGTTGCTTCTAAAGCAAATACATTCAAATTCAGTGATGGCATGTTTGAAGAGGTTTTAAAAGCCACCTTTGAAGGAAAACAATGCATCTGAGCCAGACCTTTTTTCCTCTCGTGGTTAGAATATCTTAGAAATGATCAAAGAAATTTTAACCTCTTGGAGATCAGTCTGAGAAACTTCAGCCTGTGGGGGAACATTTTTTTCCAGAAAGTTGTGTGTATGAAAACAGGAATCCATATTGAAAATGTCTTCTGAATCACAGCTGTGATGTTGATACTCTTTTAGGAAAATCAACACAGTCTCCCACTTGTGTGGAAGTGTGCTCAGATACTTTGATGGTGTGCACCAATATAAGAACCTAGATAGGTAAACATCTAGGGTATTCTAGTTCACTGTATAATTTACCTGTCATGGCATATGAAAATGAGGAATCATTAGGGGAGGAGGCAGAGATCTTGAGTAATGTATAAGCTACATTATGCTCCCCTGGTAGGATACCACTCTCACTTATCTGCAGGGACCATTTGAATAATTTTCCAGTGCTATATATAAAGAAAATATCCCCACCCAAGTGCTTTACAATGGTAGACTTTGAGATCCTTAGTCTGTACATGGGATCAACAAATAGCAGAGTTTAGTTACACTGCACACTGTCTGCAGCTGAAAATTCTAGCACTTCTCGGCCATGTACAGGAAAACTCTACACTTCTAATAATTGCAATAGGTAAGTGGGACGAGGGAAGTTTAATTATTAAAAAGGTAACAGTTCAGTAAAATTTTTCTGTCTTTTCTGATCACAGCATGTATTTAAGCTGGAGCAAGAAGAATATATGAAGGAACAAATCCCTTGGACTCTTATAGATTTTTATGACAATCAGCCCTGCATAGACCTTATAGAAGCCAAACTTGGTATCTTGGACCTATTGGATGAAGAGTGTAAGGTAAAGAAAAACACTGATGTCATCACTGCCATTTTTATCATTCTCAGAGTAACTTTAGCAGGCTAGTCATGCTGCATTCAGTGTGATGGGTCCCCAAACCAGCACTCTCCAGAAGCAGGAGGGGGCCAATAAAACAGTCCTTGTCCAAAACGAACTGCAATCTGGCGATCTTGTTGAATCACTGCTCCTGGGTTCTCCGGTAGAGGCAGTAGCCTATAGTATCTCTTATCTAATGCATCTGACTAGGAGGCTATGACCACTCCTCTCAGATGCAGACTTTGCAGTAGTCATCCCCTTCTTTGTGACCTCTACACTAGGTAAGGCTATTGCAATGTGCTTTACTTCTGGCTACAGTTGAAGACCACAGGTAAACATCATCTGATGCAGAAGGTTGCTGCCCACTTCCTAAATTGGGCAGACCACTGACACACCACACCAGTGCTCTCATTTCTACATTGGGTGTAGTTACAGATGTTCGTGCTGATATTTAGTTCCCTAAATGGGACCTGGGGTTTTTTTGGGGGGGGTTTTTTTGAGTTCCCCTCTCCAAGCCTATATCCTTTCACAGCAGTTGAAATTGGCTGCTTTTCCTTGTGGTTCCTGGGTTAAAAGTCTTTTTGGGTGGTAGGGCTTTCTCAGTCTGAATCTCCACCTTTTGGAATTCACTCCTCTTGGTGGGTCAGATACTGGATCCAGAATAGGGTAGATTTCTGAGCCCAATCAAAAGCCTTTTAATTTGTTAGATTTGAAGGAGTTTATTAATAAAGTTGATGATGCAATGACAAGTTGCAATCCTGAAGGGATAGATTGTAAGCTCTTTGGAGCAGGTATCATCTTTTTTTATTCTGTTTGTACAATGCATAGCACAATGGGGTCCCAGTCCATGACTAGAGATCCTAGACACTACAGTAATACAAATAATAAATAATGATAATAACAGATCACATTTATACAAGGGGTGAAATTCTAGATGTATTGAAGTCAATGGCAAAGCTCCCATTGACTGTAGTGTAGCCAGGATTTCATCCAAGTTGTCCAGATTGCTGAAATCAGATGCACTTGCCACCCTGATTCTATACCAAAGAGCAGAAGCCACCGAGACATCCGGGTGCTGGTACAGTCGGTCATTTGTACACTTTTTCCATGTCATAATGGTTGCAGCAGTGAGATTTCATACAGTGAGATTTTGTCTTAAATGTCCATCTCAGGGACTAGCAAAAATCAGTTCACCTGGCTGAAGTGGCTTTTAACTAAAGGTCAGACAAATGGCATTGGGAAGCTTGGGCACATTTTAAAGAGTTCTCTTACAGTGAGTCTGTAGAAACAGATTTCCATGTTTATTGCTGCTCAGCAACTCCTGATCAAATGTGTTCAGCTTACAAATTAAGTCAGTAACAGTCAGAACTGCAAACTCACCTTAGAATCCCAAAGTCAAGTTGGACTCTTCCTTGCTCATCTGTCACCAGCAATAACAATTTTGCAGCTGGAACTTAGTTAACATGATGCTTGAGCCAGCAGAATCCAGAGATTGTTAGATCGGCAGGGCTGGTAGGGTAAGGAGCTGGTAGAGTGCAAACAGCCGAAATACCTTTGCCTAAACACAAGGGGGAGGATCTGTTGAATAAGAAGGTGCCATTTTTGCAATCACTTTTCTGCTCATAATCTCCCTTTAACACAAGGGAGTAACTTCCTGGAAGTGGTTCTTCATACCAGTTTCCATCTAGTGTGATTACAGGTCAGTGTTTTAACCATCTGTTATTAGGCAAGAAAGTTTGCATTAAGACTCAGGTCTGCCTGTCACGAGAAATGTTATGCACGCATTGAAATGGCCTTGTGGGTCTGTGTGCATATATGCAGTAGGGTAAACTGTTAGCCTTCATGTTCAGTCAGTGTAGTGGACCTTGCCTTTCCTGTAGCAAGGCGTGTAAAGGACACTAATCATTCTTGTTAGCTCCATTGAGATTCATGAGCAA